AGATATAGCGCCCTACTGGCCTCTTGGGCGGTGACTTCCAAGGCCGAGCGGCCTCCCAGCAACCGGTACCTCCTCCCTTTCGGAGGGAAACATCATTGCAGGCTCTGCTAACCTCCGGACAGGCCCTAGACCCGGTGTGAGGAAACCCGGGGAGAGGCACCTGTTCGTCGCTGAAGCCAGGGACAGTGACGCCTGTCACTCGTCATGCCCGCTTCAGAGGTCCTCAATGGCGATCAGGGAATGGGAGGGTTGCGTTGCCCGTCACACACTGAATTACGGCTGGTCATAATGCTCTTACTGAATAAAACAAGAAATGGGCAAAATTGCAATTAACAGAACCCAAATAAAGACCTCAGCGGCTCATAAGCACTCAGTAAGGTCAGCAAATGCAGATCAAATGGCCACACAACAGATGCAGTTCCAAATTACTTAATATGTCACCAAATGCTTTCCAGCAGCAACAGCAAGAATCAGATTACGAATCAAGTTACCCCCGGATAACAAGAGTGTTCTTTTATGAAATTCTGACCATATCTGTCCAGTGGTGCCAGGCTCGAAAAGTCTATTTCGGAGAGATAGCGGATTTGATATCCCATTCTGCAGCAACATGCAAATGGCAACTAAGGACAAGTTGAGTGCACAGTCACATTCTGGTTCAAGTAGGATTTTTGACCCATGCACAGTCCGCACATGGTGCTCTTACATCAGATTCGCGACCGTCACCTTTCGGAGGGGTTTCCAATTGGCAGTAATTCGAATTCTAATCATAAATCCATAAATAACTCGTTTTCCCTGTCGTCCGTGAAGGGACAGACTACAGGGTGGTACCGAGCTCATTCCCCGTGATTGGGTGCTCAACATCGTTCTTCAATCACGGGATTTTAGATTTGCTAATTTCTCAAAACTTAATAAATCTCAAATAAAGCCCTTCCTTCGCCAATCAAAGCGAAGACAGGTAGCGGGATTTCCACAAGAGGCTTGCACACTTGCTCCCCCGCTCTCTCCCTCTCCACTTCCTTCTCAATCGCCAACCAGATGAGAGATTCTAAAGTGAGAATGGATTTTTGACTGAGACATGGAAAGATACACTATGGTTTTCTCTGCTCTTTGTGTACTGCCGCCCCTCCCCGAATACTAACCCGGGGACGGAAGTGGAATGATTCTTCAGCTTGATCACGGGCAAACACCGCCTTACTCTATCCCCTGACTACTGTGAGTGTCAGCGCCTTTTGCAGCAGAAATTGTGAAAACCGGCGCCAAAGTGTTGATGGGTTTGATCAGACCCAATGATGTCTGAATCTCGTCTAAACGCTAATCCCAACGGTCAAACTGTGCGATTCGAAGTCCCCCTTATGTGTGTGAAAACGGATCTTTGTTTGGAGCTTTCTTTCAAAAGAACCAATAACTATTTTGTAGTGTCATTGTTCTCTCTCATGGATCCAAATAGAGCACAGGGTCTTCAAAGCTGTATTCAGGCAGCTCTCAATCCAAACACAGTGGAGTTAGCAGTCCGTGGTATTCCGCCAGTTGTAAGCAACATGGCTGTGAAACGATTTGATGGGGGGCTTGAATCTATCCACAAGGCAGCACTTTAGCTCATACTCAAGCACAAGTTACCTCAACATCCATGCCGACGTCGACCATAGTCAACTTGGTCCGGTGAACGGGCACGTTCGAAACGGGCCTAGCGGGCATCCATCGCCTTGATCACTCCCCTCACTAGCACCCGAGAGAAAGCTCCATCTATTGGTGGGGAGCGTCACCTGCTGGAAAACAGGTCCTGCGTCCCGTACACAAATTGAGATTGGAGTCTCTAATTCTCATTCACTCCCAAAATTGTGCGTCATCACTTACTGCTCCAGGAGCAGCCTGCTGAGCGCGGCTGCAAGCTCATGGAAACGGTCACGAATCATCTCCCTCTCGTTGGCATTCCCCATCTGCAGCATGATGCTTGCACCATCTCAATCCTCTCTCTTGCCGAGGGCATGCTCACCTAGACTCCGTCATAAATGTATTGGTTGCGCTTACGACCAGGCACATAGTCATAAATGATGGTGTTATGGCCTCCTTTCACCCGGTTCATCACTCTCTCTCTCTCTCGCACACAGTCTCTTCCTCTCACTCTCTCTCTCTCTCGCACACACAGTCTCTTCCTCTCACTCTCTCTCCCTCTCTCTCACACTCAGTCTCTTCCTCTCACTCTCTCTCTCGCACACACAGTCTCTTCCTCTCACTCTCTCTCTCACACACAGTCTCTTCCTCTCACTCTCTCTCTCTCACACACAGTTTCTTCCTCTCTCTCTCTCTCTCTGCTCACGACACTCTCTCTCTCACTCTCAGTCCGCTCTCTCTCACCCCTTGTCTGAGTGCACCTTCCATACCCAGTCTCCTACAATCTGAGCCCTCAACCGGGCTGACGATACCCTGTCCAAAGCGCAGCGTGGTCTGCGTACGCCGGGCGCACTCTCTCCAGTGCCTGCCCGGATCCACACTCCCAATCTCCAAGCTTCCACCGCCTGAGTCCCAATCGGACCGTGTGAGCGAGCAGGTGGGCTGGGAACGCCTGGCTCGTTGTCCCCCCGTCACTGAAACGGGCTGTAGTTCCCAGCGCGTTGACCTCCGCTGCCCTGATTCACGAAGCGGGCTGCGTACACCGTGCACACACTGTCCGCCCTCCTCGCTGGTCTCCTCTATATTCCGTTAGCAGGACAGTCTGGGACCTCGAGCGGAGCACCGGTCCCTGTAGGTCTCAGACCCATTGATCCTGGCTTCTAGCGGACTGCAGTCGCTGGCCAAGTCCCGGAAACCCACGCCTGCAGGTTTGCAACAGTGAGGGTATCGTGCTGTCCATGGACACCCAGCAATACCCGCAGCTGAACCAGTGGTACCCATGAGCTGGCACATACACCAAGGCCACAGTCCAAATTAGCAGTGTGCACCGCAACACACTACACCTGCTAACATACCGGCACCGCACCTGGAACATATCAGCCTGAATTAGTACAACCTGCACCATTGCTGTACCGATGACGTTCCTGTGACAACCAACTCGAACCGCGGTGATTCATAATATGCAGGCGTCGAACCTGTCCTGAGCCAAAGTACCGGACCGACAATGTAAATACCATACCACATCAACTTGAATATCCCGCATCACATCAGTGTCGAGCCTGTCCCGATCCTGAAAACTAGAGCTAGGCTGCTGCACCATGTCAACGCCGAACCTTGCAGCCATGTAGCGACAGTTCCGAGCCAGAAATAATTTATCGCCAAGGGTCCGAACCTGAAATAAATCGTCGTGGAAATCCCGGTCCCGAACATAAATCACCGCAGCGGTTCTAAACTTGAAATAAAGCGTCATGATGGTGCTGAACCTGAAATATGAGGGTGCCGAACTTGAAACAACTGTCGTTGTCGTCAGAAGGTAAATCACCATAGTGTCGTCCCCAAACCTGAAATAACTCGCTGTGATGGTTCCGAATCTGATAATAAATCGCGCTGATGTGTCCGAACCTGAAGAACGCTGGTGTCGGGCTCATGTTGAACCGGAAACACGCCCGGGATCGTCGGATACAGCAACTCCGCACCAATACAGAACCTCCGCGAACCACGTGTCTGTACCAAATACAAAAGTCATACTGTCGGTCCAATGTAGCACCAACCCACGCCGGCCAGGCGGCCTCCATCCT